CCTCTTACACCTACCATTTAGTTTCAACAGTTATTACTATTGTCAGTGTTAGTTTATTACCCCTCCTTTAAGTGCCTTTTTAAAAATTAAAAAAACAAAATTATTAGACTTTATTTTTTAGAGCAGTTTTAGGTTCACAGCCAAATTGATCTGAAGGTACAGCGATTTCCCATCTACCCCTGCTTAAAATCTTTTTTTACTTGAAAATAATTTTAAACTTACAGAACTTGCAAGAAGCTTCTTTATTTTTAAATAGTGTTTTTCTTATTAGAGAATATATTCTCAGAATGGATACAGAAGAAAACTGAGATCTTCATGAGCCTACCACCCAGAAAAAAGTACTGTCATTGTTTTGTTGTCTTTCCTTCCAGTCTTTTTTCTATGCTTATATTTGTATTTTCAGTTGGACGGTTGTATCCAGAGACTAACTGGCTTCCTGTCTGGTGTGTCGATATGAGCTGGCTCAGTCCCAGGGCCTCCCCCCAGAGAGCCTGCTGAGAGCAACAACAAATCAATCTGAGTCTGTGATTTGTGGCTGCCCTCATTCCCCGGACTCCTCTCTGGCGCTCCTTTAATTTTGGTTTTTCTTGGATAATATTGGTTGGTTTCTGGTGGGATGAGGTGCTCATCTCTCTGGAATTGGGACGTCTGTGTCTGAGTCTTTCTCCCCCGCTCACCTGAGAACTCTGTGAGTGGAGGGCTCAGATCTGATTCATCGCTCAATGTGAAGCAGAGTTGGCCTCAAGAAATAAGTCTAGAATTGAATCGACCTGCTTCTTTGGCATGGCCCAAAGAACTGCAGACTCAGAGTGCCTTACACTAATTTACAGCCACCAGCACGGTGTCTGGCACAGAGCAGGTGCTCAATAAATGTGTTACTGCTGCTACCGATAACCTAGAGATTTCCATCCGGGTCAGGGTTCCGCTGCTTTTTCCTCCTTCCCTTTCCCACCTTCCCCTCCTTCCTCCGGATGGTAAAGAGACCATTCTGACATGCCAGAGGGAAGGTGCCACCCTTTGTCCCCCCATCGTCTGTAAGTTAGCAGCAAAGCTGAGCTGGCAATGGATCCAAAAGAAACAGCTCCTGTGCTGAGGCTATTTTATACGTTTGCGTGGCTCAAGATACCAGTTATCATTAGCAGCAATTAGAACTGTTTCAGGATCAGTTCAAAGCTGCCTTGGAGGTATTTTAAGTTGGACAAAAGTCCTCCACGTGTCTAGCTTTGAGCCAAGTTTCCTGGTGTCGTTAGAAGCCCCCTTGTATTTGGAGACTGCAGTCTATATATTTTGAATGCCTGAATATTTCATAAATTTCAAGGGTGTTTGTCCAAAGTGGGTTCACATCTCCAAAGCGGTTTGGATTACATTATGAGTCCCACTCCCAGCCTCAGTTAAGTGGAGGGGACCGTGGAGATGGGAGAGGAGGGGAATCTGCCTGGGGTCTTTCCTTAGAGCCAGTCCCTCTGGCCAGGCAGAACCCCTGGGCTTCTGTGGCCCAGAGGGAGGGTGGCAGAAGGGATAAGGGCATGACCTTCTAGGGTTGGGGCATCAGGAAATGGGAAGAAGGCGGGAACCCAGTTTGGAGGGCTGGGGTGTGAGGAGGGGTGTGGGGAGGCCTTCCGAACACCTTAAGAAGTCTTCGTATTTGACTGAAAGCTAAGAACAGGGTAAGAACCGGTTTTGGCATGTTGAACTTCTAGGGAGTTAGTCAGCAACTTGTTTTGACCAACTGTTGGTTGGCCCTGGTCTTGACCCTGGGCCTGGAGGACTGCAAGTGGCACTGGGGCCTCAGATCACTGTTCTCTAAACATCTCGGGGACCCTCCAGGGTGACGATGGGCACCAGGCATCTTGCTGCCTGCTGACAGAGTGGATTCAGCCGGTGGGCTGAGTGGAGCGGCTTCTGGGTGGAAGGCTTTTAAACCAGGTGGTAAAGGAGTTGGAGGGCGACCCAAATGGGAGGAAGAGGTTCTGGAACAGCGGAGAACTGGAGCAGGGAAGGCCGGGCAGGAATTCCTTGTCCCTGAGCTGTGCCCAGGGCCCAGGAGGGGGACCAGGCAAGGAAAAGCTGTCCTGCCCCGTACCCTCTGGCTACAGTTGGTGTGAGTGCTGGGCACTTCCCACTCAGCAACAGCGGGGCTGGGAGTTGAGGGTTTGTGGTTTGGAAATAAGGAACCCGCTGGTGCCTTGGGTTTCCCCACAGGCTTTGCTTTGGTCAGAGCCCACCCAGACTCCCTTGGGCTCTACTCTGAATCCCTAACTGGATTTTTATGCAGAATTCACCTCTTTGCCCCTCTTTGCTGCTTGAGGACCTGATGCCACGACCCACTGAAGGGAAACACTGGAAGCAGCTGGGGCCCCGCTCCCGGGAGCTGTGCCATCACCCCTCCCCAGCCCCGCACTCACGCCAACCCCGGGATGGGGCCTCGGGGGGGGGGGACGAGCCGGGGCGGGAGCTACTTGGAGTGGGGCAGGCCGAGGGGAGTTTGCTCGTGGTGGCAGAGCCGAGAGGTAGGAAGGATGGAGGGAGTCGTGTCCTTGGCTCCGCACGGTGGAGGAAGGGCAGAAGGCGGGACGACCCACTCTCAAAGTGGCATGGCCGTGACTGGGTCTGCTTCAGGGGGTCAGCCTGCATATACACGTCGGCCTTAAGCTCTTCGAAACTGGGCTGTTAAACATCTGTATGCTGGCTTCATCAGCTTGTAAGCCGTGGTGATGGGACCTGCCTGGTTCTCTGGGCCAGTAAGTGTGCCCAGAGGCTCATAAACATCAGGTGCCTCCAGTAAATACGGTATTAACACTCAGCGTAAATGTGATGCAAAGAAGTCTCTGAAGTGAAAGGTGGGAGCTGAATTCTGTATGCATGTTACGCAATTTTTTTTTTTTTTTTTTTTTTTGTGGTACGTGGGCCTCTCCCGTTGTGGAGCACAGGCTCCGGACGCGCAGGCTCAGCGGCCCTGGCTCACGGGCCCAGTCGCTCCGCGGCATGTGGGATCTTCCCGGACCGGGGCACGAACCCACGTCCCCTGCATTGGCAGGCGGACTCTCAACCACTGCGCCACCAGGGAAGCCTATGCAATTTCTTAGTGGTTTTGAACCGAGAATGGTAGTGTGACTGCGTGTTGGGGGTGGGTTTTACATGTGCAGGATGTGTGCACAGTGTGTGTGGGGAGTGCGTTTCTGTGGACATGTATGTGCGTGTGAGGTGGGGTAAGGAGGGCGTTTGTCTCTGTGTGTGTGTGTGTGTGTGTGTGTGTGTGTGTGTGTGTGAAGAGAAGTCCCAACAGATTGGATGGAGACAAAACCAGCTACATAATTTACAGGGCCTGGTGCAAAATGAGTGTTCGGCCTCTTGTTCCAAACTATTGGGAATTTCAAGACAGCAACAGCAGAGCCTCTGAACAAGCTCGGGCCTTGCTGAGTGCAGAGGCCCCGTGACTCCCCAGATCGAATGCCCATGAAGCAGTCCCGGTTAGAGCACCTTCTGTGTCCTCTCAGCCTTCTTTTGCTGCCTTGAACAATCCTTAAATCCCCGCCTGCTCACTCCCCATCCAGCTCCCAGGGTGACCTTGATCTTGGGAGTGTGAGGCACCCACCAGAGCCCGCGTGCCCAGCAAGGGCTGGTGGTGCCCTTCTTTTCCTCCTGGTGTTGCAGTCTGGGCCTCACGGGGGGCCCCAGACTCCATAAAGTGTCTCCAGGCTCTTTGCTCAAAATGATCTCCTGAGAACGTGCGGGTGCCCTCCCAGGCCCCCCTTGCACCCCCTGCACCCTGGGGCCCTGCCCACCACCCTGGGGACTTGAGGGCTCAGGCTCCTTCCCGGGCCCTCAGTGTGGCCCCAGCAGTTGTCAGGCAGCAGACACAGGGACGAGAAGGAGGCACGCAGTTTTTGGGGTGTCCTCAGTGCCCACCAAGCGCGTCAGCTGGCAAGCCACCTTGCCTCTTACTTCCCTCTGTCACATGCCAGCCTCTTCACTCCTTCCCACTTCCAGGGGACCAGGTGTTCGGGGTGACGAATACCGGGGAGCCACAGAGCCACTAGGTCAGTTCCCTGGGCCACAGAACAACACCCATCCCAGGGACTGGGAGCCTGTTGACAAACGTCCACTTGCAGAAGGGGCTTCCTGGTCTTGTGGGTGCAGGGCCATTCCTCTGGGTGCAGGTTTTGCGTTATGCAATCTTCTCGGAGACCCACCTGCCCTTGACACCTTCCCACTGACTCCACTTCCCCCTCCTCTGGGCTCCTGGAATGGCATGATGGCCCCACCTCAGCCAGGCAGCTGTGACGAGAGGTGTTGACCCAGCTGCCTCTGTGCTGGTTCACTGTGTCAGGTGGAAGAGACTGACACAGCCGCAGGGACTAAGGGTCTTTTGGCATGGTCAGGGACCCTGGGACCGTCCATAGGCAGGACTGGAGCCCGGGGCCTCTGGAATTCAGCCAGGCACTGGGTGATCGGTGGTACAGGCGGCTGGTGAGAAACAGGCCCTGGGCAAGGAAAAACAGCCCAGAGCCACAGGTGTGCCGCTGCTTCTCGCTCCTCTCCTGTGTTCATCTCTCCTGTTTGGTGATGGCACTCAGCCAGGCCTGGAGTCCAGCAGAGAGCACCTGCTGGCCCCAGAGTAAGTTTCTACGGGGCCTGGAGACAGACGTGCACGCGCATGAGACGGACTTGTGAACGGACCAGCACAGCCAACGCACAGCTCAACGGGGAGCAGGCACACAAGCGAGGGCCAGAGTAGAGGGCTCCATGGAGGGCGACATCTGAACGGGGTCATACATGTGGGCCCCCCAACAGCTCCGGTCACCCTGCACAGGCCCGAGTCAGGCTCCAGCCCTAGGATTCCCAGATCTGCCTTCTGGGCATCCATGGGGTGGCCCGGGGTGGCCCTCCACCTTCCCACCCCCTCCCCCTGCAAGAGGTCCCACAGCCAACCTCCTCCATCCAAAGCCTTCCAGACTCTCACCACTGGCTTTGCCAACATGGTGGACGTTTCCCCCTCTTGGAACACAAAGGAGTGGAATTCCCTGGCTGCTCTTTCCACGAATGACTGGGTGAGGGAATGGACTACAGCACCTGGGGAAGGGGCTCTTGGAAGGTTCCCGGAAGGTGAGAGAGGAGGAGCCCACGGTGGGGCCCACCCAGAGCTAGAGCAGGAGCCCGACTCCGGATTCTGGAACCCACTCCCATAAGTGCAAGATCCGCACCAGCCCACTGCAAGGCCCTAATGTGGGTGCGCGGGCCAAGGCTTAGCCCGCAAACATGCTGACTCTGATTTAGGTGTGATCAACGAGGGAAAGTTACTCTAACAATTGCGTTCATGGAAAATGTGTGTGTCCCCTCATTTGAAAATCGATTTATTTCTGGACATTCTTGATTCTGGGACTCTCTTCCATCTCCCTCTCCAGAGAATCTTACGGGATTCTCTACTTGGTTCAGAACGCACGAGAAACACCTAGCGCTTGCCACACGGAGCAGAAGCGCAATAAATGTAAGCTCCTTTCCCTTAACCACTCAAAGGGGTCACTCGAGGTTGATGCAAAGGGGCTTCTCCAGTATAGAAGCTGATGGGCCTCTGGTCCCTGCCTCCCCCTTCCTTCTCCAGCTGATGACAAACACCTGGATATCATAACATCCCCTGTTGTCCTCATCTGTTATTCTGGGACATAGGCTGGGGAGGGCACTGAGTAGGGCCCCTCTGACCCAGACTGGCCTTCCTTGCAATGTGGGCTGGCAGGTACCCGTCCCGATGACGAATGCAGGAGGGTGAGGTACTGATCCTGCTAGATGGACAGGATGCTGGCAGGAGGGTAGGAGGAGCAGGGCGGAGCTTCCAGAACAAAGGCAAATGGGGAGCCCTGGGGGCTCAGGCTAGGCATCAAAAAGGCTCTGCAGAGTGAGCAGGCTACAGCAGCTCTCCGTCTCTGCACCCAGCAGTCGGTCAGACAATCCTCACCTGGTCCCTTCTGCCTGCCCATGGCGAATACCGAGCAACACTTTGCTTAGAGAGGCCTCGTGTCCAGCGTGATTGCACCAACGCTGCTCTGTGGCTTTCTCTGCCTGGTGTGGGTTGCTGCTGCAGTTCCAGAGGAAAGCAGAGGGATGGCCGGGAGTACAGCCAGGAGCTGGGAGGGCCACCGGGAGCATGCCTTTGTCCTGGAGCCTTTTGATGGAGCCAATGTGGCCCCGCACCTTTGGCTGAACAGCTTTGAGGTCATCAGTGACCTCAGCCATTGGGACCACGCCACCAAGCTGAGGTTCCTGAAAGAGTCCCTCAGGGGAGACGCCCTGGAGGCCTACAGTGGACTCAGTCCTGAGGACCAGGGGGAATACGGGGCTGTGAAAGAGGCCCTCCTGAAGACCACTGGGGGACCCGGGGCGGCCCACAGCTACCAGCCCAAGGAGATCCTCTTTGCCAACAGCATGGGTAAGGGCTACTACCTCAAGGGGAAAATTGGCGACGTGCCCGTGAGTTTCCTGGTGGACTCTGGGGCCCAGGTCTCCGTGGTCCACCCGCGCTTGTGGAAGGAAGTCACCGATGGCGACCTGGATGCCCTGCGACCCTTTGAGAATGTGGTGAAAGTGGCCAACGGGGCTGAAATGAAGATCCTGGGTGTCTGGGATACAGTGATATCCCTGGGCAAGCTGAAGCTGAAGGCGGCTTTCCTAGTGGCCGACGCAAGTGCCGAAGACGCCATCATTGGGACCGACCTGCTCCAGGACCACAACGCCGTCCTGGACTTCGAGCATCGCACGTGCACACTGAAAGGGAAGAAGTTCCGCCTTCTGCCTGTAGGAGGGTCCCTGGAAGACGAGTTCGACCTGGAGTACATAGAGGAGGAGCTCTACTCAGAGGAGGGGCGGCAGCAGCTCTCCTATTGAGAAGCCCCCTTTGCCTCACCCCCCAGATACTGGCAGGAAGACCCACCACGGTGGAGGGGATGGGCACATATCCTCAGTGGTCAATCGGCTTGGCCAGCCCTCTTATACCAACCCTCGCCTTCCTGCTCCTCCTTTGCAGGGCTCTTAATCTGCCCCTGATGGGGGAGGCTTCCATGGGAAAAGGAACAGGTGAGGGAGAGCAGGCTGGCTTTCTTGGGGGGGGGGTGGCGGGTCCTCGTGGTTGTCAAGCTGCTGCTGGTGGCAAAAACTCGGAGGCTAGAAGAAGATTCCAAGAAGGCTAGAAATGATTATCTTTGGGAGAGGACTGGGGGAACGCCTTCAGGTTCCCTGAGATGCGGCTCAATCACCTTTGGGCCCAGGTAGCCTGTCTCGGCTGTGCTGGGTCCTGGCTGCAGGGTCCTTACAAGCAAGACCCAGCCCTCATGGTGTGGGTCACAGCTGCCCTGGGGTTCTTCACTGTTGGGTCTTCCCACCTGCACAATGTGTGTTTCTTTCTGTGATTTGCTTCAAAACCCATTGAGCCTTGTGCCAATAATTCATTACTTCAAAAACCAATAAAGTTGGACTCATGGGAAAACCATGTAATGTGCTTATTGGGGATGAATGGAATGGATGTGAGAGGGTGGGGAAAACAGGCAGTGAATGGAGAACGGAAGGAAGGTTCAAGTATTTACGGAGGGTCTCGCTTGGAGATAGAAGAGAATACGTATACAGTGACGATATATCTTGGATTTTCCAAGACAGCCTCAATTTCAAATATCTTGACTTATTCCCTCCATAATTCTTTTCATTTCTAATCTAATCGTGATTCCTCTAATCATTACAAACTACAATATTTTAGTATCCAAACTGACTCTTATAGCCAAGAATGACCCTAAAGTTGTGGTCTTGATTGGGGGTTGGAAAATTATGGTTATTGTAAACAACTGAGAAAGTATCTGCCTGCGAAATAGGTTCTTACAGCCGCCTGGGATCCGGGACTTGGAGGCAGAAAGCAAGGCTGGGGGCCAGGTGTTAACCTGCATGGTGCGCCCAAGGGCATCTGGAGGGTAGAGGAGGCCGGGCGGCGGGAGGACATTCTAGATCCAGAAAATGGGGTCATCCCTCTTAAGGGCCTACCTCGTATTTGCTTCCAAGTTCCTGGCCCTCTCTCTAGAACTCAGCAAGGCTGGGAATCTGAAGACTCCCTGGTCCAAAGGGAGACGAAGTGTGCAAAGCTTCAAGACCTTTTGATGGGAGGCAGGAAGGGCATCTTCCCTTCATGAGGATGGAATGAGCTTCTCCTGGGAGTTTCCACCTGGACATCCCTAAGGGAGAGAGAAACAGCCTGAGTGGGAACCAGAGGTGGGGACGAGCCTTCTAAGAAGTCTCTGGGGACTTGACCTTGAACCTATCTGAGCTGAGAGTGGCTGCTTGTCCCTCAGATTCCAGCTATGATTCTCCTGGGAACTGAGGCAACTGCTCAGCCCCCAACCCGTTTGATTACTGAAGCCCCTTCCCTGGGCAGCCCAACATCTTAACTGGAATTAGCTCCATCAGTCCCAGGGCACGTGGGGCCACAGGCAGTCCTGGATCAGGAAAAAGTCTTTCCCCAGGAACGCGAGGACTGGAGAAGGGGCAGCCCAGCCAGAGGCCTTTGCTTGCAGGGGAGAAGGAGAAATGGAGAAGGGGGTGGTCTCGTGGCATCCAGGTCCCCCATTCCCCTTCTCAAATTTGGTTTTCAACCCCCTAACAAATGTAGCTTCTCTCCTAGGCCAAACCCTCCCCCCAGGGGACAACTTAGGTGGCACCTCCCTGTGACCTGGCTAGGTCCTTCAGATCCTAGCTTCCTGCTGGGCTGAAGGAGGGAGGGGAAAGAGTGGGTGGGGGTTGGACAGGGGAATGGGGAATTGGGTGCCAGGTCAGAGTTTCAGGGCAACACCCAAGTGGTCCCCTCCCTGCAATTCCCCACGCAGACAGGGTGCCGAGCCCTGTCCTGGGTGAACAGGAACAGGGTGACCTCTGTCCCAGCCACAGAGACCCTCCCTGCCCTGCTATGAGCGAGGAGAGTGCCTGATCACCAGGCTCTCAGCCAGCTCTCTCTCCTGGAGGAAAGTGAGCGCCTGGGGTGAGCCCAGCCAGACTGACACATCATGGCACGGGCCCCCGGGGAAGAAGGTACTAAGTGGTGGTTCTTACCTGGAGACCTGCTGCGTGTGTGTGTCGGGGGCCGGTTCCCAACGCAATTGTGTGCAGGGAACCTGAGGTGCAGGATGGGGACACTGCTCTCCTGGGAGCAGAGTGTCAAGGGGGAGGGGGAGGCTGGCAAGCAGCCAGGTAAAGTGGGTTTTGGCCACAAGTCACAGAGGGCTTGACCCTTGGGTGGGGAGTTGGCACCTGACTTGCACACAAGTGTCTGAACAGGGAAGGAGCATCGGAAGATTCACCTGGCTTCTGGGTAGAGGACAGAGTAAGGCAGCAGCGAAGAAGGCAGCTTGGAAGCCAGGGCAGTGTTCAGACTGAGGGTCTGAACTTGAGATGACAGATAGGAGGAGACAGATGCTGGCAAGGTCATCAAGGTCTAATCCTGCTGCCCATTAGAATCACCTGGGAAGATCAATTACCGATGCCTCTTCTGGTGGTCCTGAAGTGCAGCCAGGCTCCAGAACACCTGGTCTTAATCCCAGCTGTATCCACCCCCTTGTGACCCAAAGTGTGATCCCTGGACCAGCAGAAAGGCAGCGACAGCATCACCTGGGAGCTTGTCAGAAATGCAGGATCTCACCCCCACCCAGACACGCAGCAGGGCCTGTACTGAACAAAATCTCCAGGTGATTCTTATGCACACAAATGTTTGGAAATCCCTGGCCTAGAACATTCTGATACCTCTAGTTAAGGGGCAACTCATGGCCCCCACCAGACACACTCTTTAGTAATGACCACCTTACACTAAATGCCTACTAATTCCACCAACGGTGCTAGGTAATACTTCATGCTTTTATCCAGCAAACATTTATTTTATTTTTGAGCTTTTGTTTTGCTGTAACTCCAGACTTACTGAAAAGCTGCAAGAGTAGTACAAAGAATTTCCATATATGGTTCACCTACTTTCTCCAAATATTAACATTTTACCAATTAACTTTATCATTCTCTCTCACATTCTCCGTATCTAGATATGTATGAACTGTTTGAAAATTGCAAATATGATATACATGTACCTCTAAATACTTTAGTGTTTATTTCCTAATAAACAAGGAATTCTCTTATATAACCACAACACAAGGATCAAAATCAGGAAATTAACATTGACATAATATTACTATTATCTAATCTACAGACCTTATTATGTTTTCCCAATTGTATCAATAATGACTTTTATAGTGAAAGAAAACAATTGTTTTCTGATCCAGGATCCCATTCAGTCACATAGCATTTAGTGGTCATGTCTCTTTAGCAACCTCTAATCTGAACAAGTCCTCAGTCTGTCTGTGTTTTTCATAACCTTGACATTTATGAAGAGGCCTGGTCAGTTATTTTGTAGAATGAGAATCTACATTTGGGTGACTCTGATATTTTCTCAGGATTAGATTCAGGTTAAGTAAGCGTTTTGGGCAGGAATACCCAAAAGTGATATTGTGTCCTTCTCAGTGGACCACATCAGGAGGCATGGGATACCTATTTGTTCCCTTACTGGTGATGTTAACTTTAATTAGTTGGTCCAAGTGGTGTCTGCCAGGTTTCCCCCTGTAAACTGCATGTATTTTCCCTGTATAATTTTTTAATTAATTAATTTATTTATTTATTTTTGGCTGTGTTGGGTCTTCGTTGCCAAGCACTGGCTTTCTCTAGCTGTGGCGAGCGGGGGCTGCTCTTTGCTGTGGTACACGGGCTTCTCACTGCGGTGGCTTCTCTTGTTGTGGAGCTCAGGATCTAGGCGCGTGGGTGTCAGTAGTTGTGGTGCGCAGGCTTCAGTAGTTGTGGCGCACGGGCTTCAGTATTTGTGGCATGCGGGCTCAGTAGTTGTGTCTTGCGGGTTCTAGAGCGCAGGCTGGGTAGTCGTGGCGCACGGGCTTAGTTGCTCCGCGGCATGTGAGACCTTCCTGGACCAGGGCTCGAACCCATGTCCCCTGCATTGGCAGGCGGATTCTTAACCAGTGCGCCACCAGGGAAGTCCCCTTCCCTGTGTAATTAATGAGTGTCTTCTGGGTTGATGCTCTGAGACTATACAAGTAGCCTTTCTCATCAGTCACCCGCTAGATCTGTTGATGATCCTTGCCTGCCCGTGGTGATTTTCTAATTCTACCCTTCTACGTTTGTTAGCTGGCACTAAACTCTAAAGAAGAGTTTTCCCTTCCTGTTTGTTTATTATTTATTTATATAATTGTAGACTCACAGACGCTTGTTTTATTCAGTGAGTTATACTCTGTTACTACCACTATTTATTTTGATGCTCAAGTTGTTTTAAATTTGGCCTTGGGGAACTCTTCAAACTGGTTTCTGTCTTCTTGGCACATGTCCCCACCATCATCTGAACGCTTCTTTATTTTCTGTCACAAGATGTTCTAGGTTCATCTTGTACCTTCCCTGTACCACCCCTGAAATTGGCCGTTTCTCCAAGGAGCCCTGGTTCCTTTTGGTGGAGTCTGGTATTTAGAAACCAGGATCTGGGGGTTGGGTGTGCTTATTACTACTAGGGTGTCACTACTCCTAGATCCTCTCAGTGGTCAGAAAAAAATATAGTACATCTATGTATGTTTCTGTGTCTATCTCTCTGTATATATACTCTCTATATATATTTAAAATATGAGTTCATACTGAACCTCCAATTCCAATGCAGCATCACAGGGTTTATTCTAATCTTCCCCCTTTCCATATTTGCAACTTCTTTCTCCAATGAGAAACCTGACTCCAGGTTACTTATTTGCTCTACCCTAAATACCCATAAAGTAGTTTCAGCATTGCTAACCCATAGCCTATGAAAAACAAACCCAGAAGCAACCAGTTATTAATCACCTACTCACTGCCAGGTGTGGGTGGGCCTTGGCAGCAAATAAACTTCATAAACTATGAAATCAGACTGCAGTTATCATAAGGAGAGCTAAGGCTCCCTCCCAGGTATGCTTAGGTGCCAGTCTATGGCTATTACTTTACCTTGAGGACACAGTGTGTCCATCAGGAGGGCAGCTGAGGGAGTGGCCAGCCTCAACGTCCCCAGACAGGTGACCTGGCCTGCCCACCTGGTCCTCAGCCCCCCGAGGAGACACTGTCCTGGCCAGAGTCCCCTGTTGCCAAGCAACCCTGCATAATGAATGTGGCTTCCATGGCTGGGCCACAGAGGGTGAACCCTGGTCCGGCCACTCTAGCCACCCACTCCGCCCAGCTGTTGTTTCTCACTATGGGCTCATAACTCGGTTCTCAAGTTCTGACTGCTCAGATTCTGTGGGCCAGCCTCCCCCAAGCCTGGATGGGGGTGAATTCTCCACCTGTCGCCTGTGGGACTCGCCTGGGGCTGGCCTTGCCCTGCCCCTTCTCTCTGAGCTCCCGTCAGAGCGTCTTCCAGTCCTGGGAAGTGTGTGAAGTGAGCCCTGCCCTC